GAAGGAAACATTCTTGTGCCTCGACTCTCTCCTCTGGAGAGGTATGCACACAACAGTGTCCTTGGACACTGGCTGGAAATGTCCCTGGAAAGCACCTGAGCAATTGTCTAAAGTCTTCCTACGTTAGAAATAACAGAGAAATCTGTGAAAACATCTTGCCCTTGAAAGAAACTGCCCTCTTGACTGAACCTGAGGATATTTTCCTGGCTTTATCAAAAATCAAGGACTGACTAGGGTTGCCTGGGTGGCTCAGTCGGTTAAGCATCTGCCTTCGGCTCAGGTCATAATCCCAGGATCCTGGGATCAGGTCCATCGTTGGGCTCCTTGCTCAACAGGGAGCCTGCCTCTCCCTCTCCTTCTGCCCCTCCCCCTGCTTGTGCTCTCTCCCGCGAATGCGCTCTCTCTCTCAAATAAATAAGTATAAAACAAAATCTTTAAAAAAATTAAAAATCAGGGTGCGTGGGTGGCTCAGTCGTTAAGCGTCTGCCTTCGGCTCAGATCGTGATCCCTGGGTCCTAGGATCGAGCCCCGCATCGGGCTCCCTGCTCAGCGGGAAGCCTGCTTCCCCCTCTCCCGCTCCCCCTACTTGTGTTCCCTCTCTCAGTGTGTCTCTCTCTGTCAAATAAATAAATAAAATCTTAAAAAAAAAAAAAATCGACTGACTAAAGCCTTTGGAGACCCTTGACCCAGCCACATACCCACATTAATATGTATTGCTTAGTGTCAGAAATGATAAATGACTTTTATAATTTAGCTAGGTACATTGTTGCCTAAAAACTAAAAGAATGAGCAAACTTTAGTTTTATCAGGTTATGTTTAATGTGATTTATCCATAGCATTTTTTTAACAAAAATGTATTTTTTAATTTTTATTAAGGTAACAAATGTCTAAATTTAAATAAGATAGAAAAGTTTCTAACAAAAAGCAACAATCTCTCTTCTAGGTCTTTATAGTCCTAATTCTGTTTACCAATGACACTATATTAGCTCTGTTAACTTCTCTGTTTTTAGTTTTTCTAGTGGCTGTGTGTTTCTCTAAATAACAGGCATATGTAGGTCACAATTGTTTGACCCATCAAGTCTAGACATCTATGGACTTCCTTCAGGACTGCTTCCCACCTTTTTTCTTCCCTCCTGCCAGGTAAAATTACTATTGTAAGTCCCTCTGTTGGTTGTCTTTCTAACTTAAAAGTATAAATATGTAAACATTTCTTGAGCTCTCATTTGGTAAAAAAAAAGATTATTAATGGCCTTATTCTGTCTTCTTTTCTCCCCACCCTACCTTGCAACTTCGGCTGCCCAGGACCTTAACTTTTCCTTGTTGATTTGGATAGCACTTACTTTTTAAAAATACATAAGTAAGTCTTCATTCCTTTGGGTATTGGTTAATGACTATGTAGTATTATTAACTGTGCAGCCAAGTAGTATATTATTGTTGCATTTAAAATTTTTGTTTTCCTTGAGTTTTTGGCTTTCTGCTCCTCCTTTCCATCCTCCTGTTTCTCCTTGTTTTTCTGCTTCTGTTTCTTCTTTACATTACTTTCCTTTATCAAATCCTTACTTTTCCAATATGTCAAGGATCCAGCAAATCTTTTTTAAGATCCCATTTTTCCTGATATCTTCCTCTTTGACCCTCAGTCTAAATTTAATGCTCTCCAGATCTACTCCTTATTGTAACCTAGAACTTCACTTTGTTATTCCTTCCTTTTTATTAAATTTTTTATTTAAATTCTATTTAATTAACATACACTGTATTATTAGTTTCAGAAGTAGTATTCAGTGATTCATCGGTCTTATATAATACCCAGTGCTCATTACATCACGTGCCCTTCTTAATGCCCTTCACCCAGTTACCCCATCCCTGTACCCACCTCCTTTCTAGCAACCCTCAGTTTGTTTCCTATAGTTAAGAGTCTCTTATGGTTTGTCTCCCTCTCTGTTTTCCTCTTATTTTGTTTATTAATTTTCCCTTCCTATGCTCTTCTTCTTCCTGGTTTATGCCCTGTTTGGCTAGACCATACCCTCTAAGTAACTTCCTAAAAAACTGTGTGTAACAGACAGTCTTTCTAAATCCTTACATATCTGAAAATGCATTCTATCCTCATTCTTGACTGATAGCTTTCCTGAGTATAAAATGTGAGACTGAAATAATTTACTTCATAATTTTGAAAGCATATTCCATTATTTGATGGCCATCTTGAGCTGCCAAGGGGAGGTTAAAATGACTGCCTGATTTTTGTTCTTCTATAACTAATCTTGTTTGTTTTTCTGTCTCCCTCTTTATAAATTTTTTAATGTTTTCTTTTATATATTTTCTGAAATTTTATAGGGCCAGGTTGAGATGAGTCTGTTACCTATTCAGTGTTCTGAGCAACTAGTATCATTCAGCTCTGGGAATTTATTTTTTTTACATCTTGATTTAGTTCTTGTCATTCTTTTTTTTTTTTTTTTGTTCCTGTTCTGTCTTCTGAAATTCCTGTTTGTCAAAATCTCAGATACGTTGGGTTGATCTTCTAGGTCTTTTTCCTTTTCATTCATATTTTTCATCTCTTAGCCTTGATGTTGTACTTCTTAAAAGAAAGAGTGAATGGATAGAGAGCTGGTCTTCGTCTGGAGGACCACCAATGCCAGAATTGCTTTGGGGAGGAAATGCTCATTCTCACTGCTCTGGCTTTGAATTTGTTCAATTTATTTATAGTAACATGTTTTGGTTTGTTTGGAGGTAAATTACTGACCATCAGGTGTTTTGAATATAGGTTTGAGTGGAAGTGGACTCTCTAATTTTCAATAAACCCTCTTGGTTTCAGATTTTATTTATTATTTTATTTTTTTAATTTTATTATGTTATGTTAGTCACCATACAATACATCATTGGTTTTTGATGTGGCGATCCATGATCCATTGCTTTCGTATAACACCCAGTGCTCCATGCAGTACGTGCCCTCCTTAATACCCATCACTGGGCTAACCAATCCCTCCTCCCTGCTCCACACTAAAGCCCTGTTTGTTTCTTAGAGTCCATAGTCTCTCATGGTTCATCTCTCCCTCCAACTCCCCCCCATTTTTCCCTTCCTTCTTCAAATGTTCTCCATGCTATTCCTTATGTTCCACAGATAAGTGAAACCATATAATTGACTTTCTCTGCTTGACTTATTTCACTTAGCATAATCTCCTCCAGTCCCATCCATGTTGATGTAAAAGTTGGGTATTCATCCTTTCTGATGGCTGAGTAATATTCCATTGTATATATGGACCACATCTTCTTTATCCATTCATCTGTTGAAGGACATCTCGGCTCTTTCCACAGTTTGGCTATTGTGGACATTGCTGCTATGAACATTGGGGTGCATATGGCCCTTCTTTTCACTACATCTGTGTCTTTGGGGTAAATACCCAGTAGCACAATTGCTGGGTCATAGGGTAGCTCTATTTTTAAATTTTTGAGGAACCTCCACACTGTTTTCCAAAGTGGCTGTACCAACTTGCATTCCCACCAACAGTGTAAGAGGGTTCCCCTTTCTCCACAACCTCTCCAACATTTGTTCTTTCTTTCCCTGTCCATTTTTGCCATTCTAACTGGTGTAAGGTGGTATCTCAATGTGGTTTTGATTTGGATTTCCCTGATGGCTAATGATGATGAACATTTTTTCATGTGTCTGTTAGCCATTTGTATGTCTTCTTCAGAGAAGTGTCTTTTCATATCTTCTGCCCACTTTTTGACTTGATTATTTGTTTTTTGGGTGTTGAGTTTGAGAAGTTCTTTATAGATCTTGGATACCAGCCCTTTATCTGTAGTGTCATTTGCAAATATCTTCTCCCATTCTGTGGGTTGCCTCTTTGTTTTGTTGACTGTTTCCTTTGCTGTGCAGAAGCTTTTTATCTTGATGAAATCCCAAAAGTTCATTTTTGCTTTTGTTTCACTAGCTTTTGGTTTCAGATTTTCCATAAACCCTCTTGGTTTCAGCCCAGTGAATCATTCTTGCCCTCCATCAAAATTGGTATAATTGAATCCCAAACTCCCCCGGGGTCCTACATACGCTAGGATGTAGTTTACCCCTCCCTGCAATCCCTCAGCCACTTTCTGTCCTCCAGAAATTTGTTAAAATCTCTCCTTTCTTTGCTGTTGATCGACTCCTGCTCTTTTCGATTTTGTGATTAATACCTTTAAGACATTTACTATAATTTTAATAGGGTTTTTAAAAAGAGAAAAAATAAATGAGTATGGTCAACCACTCATCTTGCACCAGAATTCTGTGACTCATTTTAGAATAAGACACATCTTATTTGTCTTGCACATCATGCAATAGATTTCTTTTTTATTTACTACATCTCAAAAAGCATCATTTTGGAACATGCTAAATCTCTTTGAAAAAAATGAAAAATAATAAAGAGAAACTTTCTGAATGAATTTTTAGAAGAGTAAAGGTCAGCAGGGACTGATGGGTGACCAACAGCACCAGGAAGGCCAAAAGAATGGAAGTATAAAATTCCTGCTCCAGAGTCTGATTGATTTTATTTCCATTTTAATTAATTTGTTTGTCCAATGAATAAACATTTATTGATTACTTAGTGTTTCAGTGTTCTTTAGGCATTGCTGTAAATTAATACACACACACACACACACACACACTTGCCCTTCATGAGATCAGAGTCTAATAAAAGGACATGATGCCCATTCTTTTTTTTTTAATATTTTTATTTATTTATTTGACAGAGAGAGCACAAGCAGGGGAAGGAACAGGCAGAGGGAGAGGGAGAAGCAGACTCCCCACTAAGCAGGGATCCCGATGCGGGGCTCGATCCCAGGACCCCAGGATCATGACCTGAGCTGAAGGCAGACAGATGCTTAACTGACTGAGCCACCCAGGTGCCCCCATGATGCCCATTCTTATACCATATGATGACTTAGAGCTATAGTAAAGGTTAGAGAATGACTCTTTCTTGAGCCAGAAAATCCTAAATAATTTATTAACTATCAAGTGGCTATTTAAGATATTAGCCATGATTTCCACCAGAAGGATTTACCATCCAGCAGTGAAAGAGATTCATGCATTCAGAGGTATGGCTTTGGAATCACACAAACCTGAATTTTCATCCAAAATTTTCCACTACTCACTAACTTTGTAAACTTACAGAAGTTGTTTTGTCTCTCTGAGACTCTATTTTCTCTTTTGTAATATGAGTAATAAAACTACAGTAAAAGTTCCCTTAACCAACTCTCCAGATTCATGAAGACTCTTCCTTCACCTTAAGACATATTGACTGTTGCTCAGTCATGCTGAAAGCACACAGTTCACAGGCTATACAAGATGATGCCCCTCCAACCAAGTTACACTTACCAAGATACAGTTGTGTTTGTTTTTAAATATATTTATGTTGGCTTTAGTTATTTTAATTACAAAAAAAATGAAAAATTTTATTACCGGTGAAATATGAAGGCAAAAAGTAAAAGATAAGTAACTTTTAAAAATACTGTCAAATTAGTTGGTTAAAATATATATGCGTGTGTGTGTGTGTGTGTGTGTGAGATAAAGTTGGAAAAAATGGTGTGGAGAAGTTGTAAAAATCTAGAAGGATTCTATACTCAAAATGTTTTGCAGGTGCAGTTACATCCTGGACATTTCAGATGTCATAAATAAGGCAATAGGTGTAGTTTATGCAAAAAAACTAAGGGAGTTTTAATCAATGGACTCATGATCAAAGATAAACCCTTGGCCTTATGGATGACATGTGAATAAAGTGTTATATGTTTAGGATTAAAATAAAATTTTGTGGAGTGATGGGGTGGGTTAATTAGAATAGGTATAGCATTTATTATAGTACCTGGCACATAGACAATCCATTAAGTGGTGGCATTATTGTTGGTAGCTAGGGACAGGTGTTATTTTATTTGATAAAATATTTTTAAGAGTCCACTCTGTGCCAGGCCCTGAGCATACAATGGTGAGGAAAAAAAAAAAAAAAAACAATCCTGGACACTGCCTTTATGAATCTTAGAGGGAGAGCATCTATTTGATGAAATCATCACATGAAGCCATAATCTCAATGTAAGAGAAGGGCTATAAAGGAAGAATACAGTAGGGGGACCTGATCTGTGTTGAGGGTCACCAGAAAGTATCCTTTAAACTGAGTTCTGCAGCAAGAGTTCAGTGAGGTCAAATCTAGCAGTCCTTTGCAGGCCATGAGAAGAATTTGGGGCATTAGCATAATGCAGTGCAAATTCAAAGGTGACAATCTACTTTAAGATCAAATTGCATAAAACATCTCCATTCCCTTTGAAATCCTATATTAGTTAGCTGCTGTAAGAAATCAACACCAAAATTTCAGTGGTCTGACACAAACTGAAATTGATCTCTTGCTCAGTAATAGCCTTCGGCAGATATTCCTGACTGGTGGGAGGCTTTCCTCCACACAGTGATTCAGGGACTCAAGCTCCTTCCATCTTATGACTCTACCATCCCACCAGAACTCATCAACCTCTGCACCTCTGCATTCAGCCAACATAAGGGAGAGAAGAGCAAGGAGTAGGTACACCCACTTACTGAACATCTGACTTACATCACTTCTGCTGACATTCCGTTGATGAGAGCTAGCCAATGAACACATCAGGTAAACAGAAGAATGTAGATCAGCTGCTTCCCAGGGACAGCTGCTTTCTATGGTAGGGGAGGACCATCTGTAGTACCCAACTCTGCCACAAACCACTTAACATAAATTAACATTTTTGCCAAGTAAGTTTTTCCTTTTATCTTGGAAAATCTCCCTTACCCCGGGCTCAGTCAGTTAAGCATCTGCCTTCGGCTCAGGTCATGATCCCAGAGTCCCGGGATCGAGTCCCACATTGGGTTCCCTGCTCAGCAGGGAGTCTGCTTCTTCCTCTGCCCCTCACGCCACTCTCAGGCTCTTTCTCTCTCTCAAATAAACAAATAAAATTTAAAAAAAAGAAAAAAGAAAAGAAAATCTCCCTTACCCCAATCTCAGTACATTGTCTGAATTTGAGTTAGTGTTCAGTAATTCATGTGGCTATTTTAAAAGGCATAGCAAATATTAGCTTTTTCTTTTAAATGCAATGTACCATAATACATGTTCATGTATTTGGTGGGCCTACTAGTCTGAAAACATAGTAGTTACCATTTTTGCTAGACCATATTTGGGTGGTCTGAATTCTTCTAATTTTTGATGTTCTACCATTAATGAAAATGTTTACTGTGTCCAACTAACATCACTCCTGATCATTACCAAATGAGGGATGGTGTCCTGAGTACTTCTTCCTTCAGCTACACCAAGCATACTTTAAAAACTTACACCAATACTCAGCAAGCCCCACATATATACACAACTACAATCTCCCCCCCCCAAAAAAAACAGTAAATTTTAAGCCTGTTGTTATGTATCTTTTCCTTTACCAATTTGTTGCCCAATTTTGAATGGGTAAGAGAAGAAAAACAAAAAGCTGTCTGTAAAATCTTCTTTAGATTCTCTAAACTCAAGCCCTCGAATGAAGAGGTTCAGATCTCCAGCTTCTTTCTCAAGTCTAATTCTTCCTTCAAATAGGTTTTGCTGGGTTTGGATCTTATCATTCATGTTCATAGACATAATGAAATCTAGCACATACCATATTTTCCTTTTGTAGAATAAGATAGGACTCTTGGATATAACATCAAAAGTACAGGCCACAAAAGGAAAAAAAAACCCAATAAGTTGGACTTAGTCAAATTAAAAACTTTAATTCATCAAAGACTCTACCAACAGAGTGAAAAGGCAGCATGTGATGGGAGAAAATATTTGCAAATCATATGTCTGATACAGGGTTAATATCCAGAATATATGAAGAACTCCTACAACTCAACAACAAAACAAACCAATTAAAAAATGGGCAAAGGACTTGAATAGACATTTCTCCAAGAAGATACATAAATGGTTCATAAGTGCATGAAAAGGTGCTCAACGTCGCTAATCATGAGGGAAATGCAAATCAAAACCACAAGATACTACTTCACATCCATCAAGATGGCGATTATCAAAACAAAACAAAAAAAAACAGAAAACAAGTGTTGATAATATGGAGAAACTGGAACCCCCATGCACTGCTGGTAGGAATGTAAAATGGTGCAACTATATGGAAAACAGTATGTGGTTGGTTCCTCAAAAAAGTACAAATAGAGTTTCCTTCTGCAACAGGTGTGGGTCACGCTCTCGCTCGCTCTCTTTCTGCCACCATCTTGGTTCCGCGTTCCCCTCACAAAAGGCCTGGTGAAGCCACAGAAACCGTCCCTGCTACAGAGCGGGAGCTGCCACAGCCCCAGGCTGGGACGGGGTCTGGAACAGAATCCGACAGTGATGACTCAGTACCAGAGCCTGAGGAACAAGATCCCACACAGGCAGCTGCACAACAGGCTCAGCTGGCAGCAGCCACTGGAATCGATGAAGAACCAGTCAGTAAAGCAAAACAGAGCCGGAGTGAAAAGAAGCCAGGGAAGGCTGTGTCCAAACTGGGTCTTCGACAGGTTACAGGGGTTACAAGAGTCACTATCCGGAAATCTAAGAATATCCTCTTTGTCATCACAAAACCAGATGTCTACAAGAGCCCAGCTTCAGATACCTACGCAGTTTTGGGGGAAGCCAAGATCGAGGATTTAGCTCAGCAAGCACAACTAGCAGCTGCTGAGAAATTCAAAGTTCAAGGTGAAGGTGTCTCAAACATTCAAGAAAACACACAGACTCCAACTGTACAAGAGAAGAGTGAAGAGGAAGAGGTTGATGAAACCAGTGTAGAGGTTAAGGACATAGAATTGGTCATGTCACAAGCAAATGTGTCAAGAGCAAAGGTAATCCAAGCCCTGAAGAACAACGGTAATGATATTGTAAATGCTATTATGGAATTAACAATGTAACCATCTGAAAACGAGGACTTTTTTTTGGTGTTTCAAAAGAATAACTGCAGCTTGGTTTGATATTTGTACTGTTTCTATCATTAATAAAGTTATGGCTTCTTGTTGGATGAAAAAAAAAGTACAGATAGAATTATCATGTGATCTAGCAATTCCACTTCTGAGTATAAACACAAAAGAATTGAAGGCAGGGGGCTCAAACAGGGATTTGTATATGCGTGTTCGTTCATAGCAGCATTATTCACAAAAGCCAAAAGACGGAAGCCACCCAAGTGTCTACCAACAGATGAATAGATAAAAATATGGCATATACATACAATTGAATATTTTTCAAAGCTTTATTTATTTTAGAGACAGAGAGAGCAAGTGTGGGGAGGGATGGGGGAGGGAATCTCAAGCAGATACTCTGCGGAGCGTGGAGCTGGACTTGGGGCTCGATCTCAGGACCCCAAGATCATGACCTGAGCCAAAGCCAAGAGTCAGATGTTCAACCGACCGAGCCACCCAGGCGCCCCCATACAATGGAAGATTTAATCAGTCTTTAAAAGGGATGAAATACTGATACCTACAACAACATGAATGAATCTCAAAGACGTTATGCTGTGAAATCACCCAGTCACGAAAGGACAAAGACCATATGATTCCACCTATATGAAATACCTAGAGTGGTCAAGTTCGTAAATACAGAAAGTAGAATAGTAGTTACCAGGGGCTGACGGGAGGGGAACGTGGGGACTTACACTGAGTTACTGTATGAGTACAGAATTTCAGTTTGGGAAGATAAAAAAGTTCTGGAAACAGATGGTGGTGATAGTTGTACAGCAATGTGAATGTGGTTATTGCACAGAACTTTTACTTAAAAGTGGTTAAAATGGAGGGCACCTGGGGGGGCACCGTCGGTTAAGCATCTAACTCTTGGTTTCGGCTCAGGTCATGATCTCAGCATCATGGGATCAAGCCCCCTGTTGGGGTCCACACTCGGGGCGTCTGCTTGAGATTCTTTCCCTCTCCCCCTCTGCTCCTTCCCCTACTTACATGCTCTCTTTCTCTCAAATAAATAAATAAAATCTTTTTTTTTTTTAAGTGGTTAAAATGGGAGGGAGGGAAGGAAAGAAAGGAAGAAAGGAAGGGAGGGAGAGAGGGAGGGAGGGAGGGGAAGGGGAGTGAAAGGAAAGATATGATACTTGAGACAAAGTCTGGTGGAAGCCATGGCCCCAAACAGAACTTGACATCCTAAGATGATGATGTCCCCTTTGCTACAATGGGCCAAAGCTTTCAGCAGGAAGTCCTTGGATCCCCTTATTAACCAATGACATGGACTTGTTTTGTTGTTATTGCTGAGCACAGGGCATCTGGAGCCTGTCATAACCACCCACCCACATGCTGAAGCTTGGGTCGGTTTGTAAAAACAGTTAGTTCAGTAGAGTTCATGCCAGTGTCCTTTATATGTTTTTATCTTTCTTTTTTTAAATTTTATTTATTCATTTATCAGAGAGAGAGCACACACAAGGGGAGCTGCAGGCAGAAGGAGAAGCAGACTCCCCGCTAAGCAAGGAGCCCAGCACAGGACTCGATCCCAGGACCCTGGGATCAATGACCTGAGCCGAAGGCAGATGCTTAACCAACTAAGCCACCCAGTCACCCTGGTTTTTTTATCTTTCTGACCAAAAAAGATAAAGAGTATATAATATTTAAGTTAAACTAAATATATATATATAGTAAATATAAAATATATATAAAGGTAAAGGATATACAATATTTAATTTAAGTTAATATTCAAATCTGGTCTATATTCTTATTCCCAGCATAGTTATTAAATCCGAGAAGAAGAAGAAGAAAGAGGAGAAGGAGAAGAAAAGACAAAGCCATGGATATCCCAGTGTTAAAGGCTGAGTCACAGTTCGAAGCATACCAGGTAGAAAGAAGTCTGTAGCGTTAACTGTCATTGTGTGGTTTGCAGACCTTAGAAGTTTCCATTGTTACCCATTTCTTATTGATGTTAAGTCCAGCCTGTTTTGTACTCTTCCACAGTGGAATAATACTTACGCCTTCCATGTATGTCCTTTCTACTAGTTGCAGTTGTTTTTCTACTATTATTTTATTTGCATAATTAACACACTGATTTGTTTTGTCTTGACAGCCTGGGGCAGTGGTACTAAGGGTACATATTTTTAAGTCAAACAAATACACGGACCTTTTGAAAATGAAGCATGCTAGATTCCTTTTCAGATTCTCTTGAAATCAGATAATAGAGATTCTGGGAATGATCCACTCGAGGCCAAAAAAAAAAAGGTTTTATAACCAATGATGATCAACATAAACTTTAATGCCCTTTAAGATCATCTGCCTCATACTATGTGCTGGTTAATTGAATTTAAATTTTGTTTTATTTTTTTTAGATTTTTTTTTTTTTTTTTTTTTTTTAATGACAGAGAGAGACACAGTGAGAGAGGGAACACAAGCAGGGGGAGTGGAGGAGGGAGAAGCAGGCTTCCTGTGGAGCAGGGAGCCCGATGCGGGGCTCAATCCCAGGACCCTGGGATCATGACCTAAGCCGAAGGCAGACGCTTAACCATCTGAGCCACCCAGGCGCCCCTGAATTTAAATTTTTAAAAAAAGGTAAAAAACATCATCTGCCTCACGGTCAGCTAATTTTTCTCAGAATGCCTCTGAGATGAATGTGTGTATACTCATATTTCAGCCAGTAATAAAGGCTAACAAGGTGTGACCCTGAAAAATACACCGACCAGGGTTCTCTACTATCAGGTTACAGGGGAGGGTGTTGGATTGTTCATAAAATGCTTTCGATCTTTGCTGAGACTATGTTGCTAAACCAGCCAGACTTCAGGATTCAGAAAACCTACTCTGAAGCCAATCTGAAATTCACAATGGTCCTGATGAAGGACCAGTAAGTTAAATTGGGTATGTAGAGGCCAATTTTTTTTAAATAAAGAACATTTGTGCAGAGTGATGCTGCCAACAGGATTTTACTTGTGCAGGTCTCCCTTTTAAACTTTGCCAATTAAACTGGCCAAATCCCTACAGTCCATTCCAGAACCTCACCAGGAACACCATCATGAATTAATAGTAAGTCTGAATTACGTGATCATTTGTAAATAGCCCTTCCTTAATTACTACCAAGAATTTGAAAAATCAAAACAAAACCAAACACCACTAATGGTGAACCACGTATGGCCTAGGAAAAACACTGACCACTTTGTCACGCACAAGTTGACACACAGCATATTCAAAGGGACATACTTCAGGAACGAGGTGGCCTGAGCCCTCATCTCTGTTCATTCTGTGCAGATTTATACAGGTCACTTGAGCTCTTTACTCTACTCTTTTCTCATTTTTTTTAAAAGATTTTATTTATTTATTTGAGAGAGAGAATGAGATAGAGAGAGCATGAGAGGGGGGAGGGTCAGAGGGAGAAGCAGACTCTCCGCTGAGCAGGGAGCCCGATGTGGGACTCGATCCCGGGACTCCAGGATCATGACCTGAGCCGAAGGCAGGTGCTTAACCAACTGAGCCACCCAGGTGCCCCTCTTTTCTCATTTTTTAAAAAGATTTTATTTATTTGAGAGAGCGAGAACATGCACAAGTGGCAGGGGAGGGCAGAGGGAGAGGGAGAAGCAGACGCCCCACTGAGCAGGGAGCCCGATGTGGGGGCTCGATGTGGGGCTCGATCCCAGGACCCTGAGATCATGACCTGAGCCAAACTGCCCAGGTGCCCCCCTCTCTTTTCTCATTTTTGAAATGAAGGGCATATGCTAATAATCTCTATATCCTTTCTGGCTCCCAAATTCTAATTTTACATCTCTAAATCATTTAAAGTAACACATTGTCTCTACATAAACTAATCTTGCTAAACTGATTCCAACATAACTTTAGTTGACTTGTTTAAGTAGGTTGAACATCCCCACATTAGGAGCTCTGAATCATGGCCTCCCTATTAATTTTCTCATAAATAGCACAGAAGTTAAGTTGCAACCTAGTTTTGCCTGCAATGTCATAAAATCTAAATTAGTTGAATTTAAATTGGTGAAGTGTGAGTATGTGTTAGATTAAAACCCAGTATCGACGAATTGTGCATGTTCTTTCCTGGGTCATTTCCTCTTTTTCAGCACGATCTGCCCGGGAAATTATAAATCGCCCACAGCTTCCACAGATATGCCTGACTCCTGAAAGTCTGACTCCGGACAGTTTCTCTCCTGAGCTCCAAACTCATATTTTAAAAATAATCTTCACCACTCACTGAGCGTCTCTTACAAGTCTGGTGCTGAACTGTCATTTTAACAACATGGTTTCTGCCTTGACAGTTCCTCTGCAGGGCAGACCTTGTTATCTCTATTCTAGATGAGGAAATTGAGTCTCAGAGAGACCTTGTAGCTGATCAGAGTCATGCAGTTGGTCATTTTCAAAGCCCTGATTGGAATCCAGGTCTTGCTACCTCAGAAATCCATGCCTCTGACTATTTTACTAGAATGAACAATATAGATTAGAAATGCAAGATACTACATCATGATAACGGTTCTGGATCAAAGTTTTCCTCTTGGCATAAAGTGGGGCACGTTGGCAGGAAAGGCATTCTGGCAAGGTGGACAAACTCTGAAATCTGAGATCAAGAGCAGAGGAAGGGGGAGCTATAAAGACAGGTCTGGGCCAGGCTGGGAAGAGCTTCCTCGGTCCAGAACGAGGAATGTAGGCTTCTATAGAACAACGTGGGTCATCACAGGGATTCAGGAGGGAGCTGGGAGTGATGTCTAGCGTCAGTTTCATATTTTAGCAGAAACATTCTGGAAACGACTTTAAGAATACTGTAGAAAGAAATAGAGGTGAGAAGCAGAAAGATCATTGAGAAAGCTCTTCTCCTAGCCCAGAGAGAGGCGATTCAGCCTGAATAGGACAATGACAGAAGGAAGGCATAAAAAAGGATGCAGAACTTGGCACACAATTAAATTGGATAAGTGGATAGGATGAGGTTATGTGGACCCCAAAGCAACTCTGATTTGTCTTTATCTTGCTACCCAGCAAAGTATGCCCCGACAGCACCCCTATTGCAAAGCCTACCATCTCCTCAGAGAAAGCCACTGCCCTGGAATGTACCAG